AAATAAATAAATAAATAAATATATATATATATATATATATGCACTTATTCTCATGTATCCCTCTGCTTGTATGTGGTTTAGGAGTGAGCATAATTCTTCGATCCGACCAAAATCGAAGCTATCCGCGTGCAATTTTTCACTTCGAACGGTTAATTTCAGATTTTCGAGATTCCAAATTGATTGATTTGGTTGGAAATGGGTTTTGTCGATCGGATTTGGGTTTAAATATTTGAATTTGTTGGTATCCAAACCCGATTGACACATAACAATTAAAATTTAAAAGGTATGTCATTGAGTTATTTCTTATAGTTGTAGAAATTAGAAAGCCTAGTAGTGTCGCAGTTGTCGCTAGTGCAACGAGAGTAGTCGTATCATATGAACCCAAACACAGTTCATTTATCTTCGTCTATCACCACATAATCGTTTACTCCTCTCTGCCTACTACCACGAAGACGATATGCTTGTCTCCTTCTAATACCATGAAGAACAGGTTTGTTTGTCTTCTTCTTCTCTTGCATCATTATTAAATCTTCAATAGTTTAGTTGGCATTTTTGTTTGCACTGATTAAACCGACTCGACTAAACCAAGACCCGACCAACCCGAATCCGATAAACTTAAAATACTGTAACGGTCAAAAATTGACTATTTTTTTTTTGGTTTGGACTAGACCGAATATTTTTTACCCGAACTTGTCTGAACTCGCCCCGTGCTCAGGCCTATGTGATTACCCATATTTTCAATATTTTTAGTGTGACACCCTACTGCGAATATATTTATTAAATGTAAAAGAGACACTCTTGTTTCTTTATATTTTAAAAAATAATAAAAATAAAAATAATAAAATAAAGGATCATTTAAGAAGTGAGACTAATTTAGATAATGTAATTGAGTAAGTTAGAAGAGGGTATAATTTATAAAGTTAAAATATTTCAAGAATTGAATATACAAAAACAAAGAATTCTTTTTATATATAGGTATAAATATTTGATAAAAAAATTTATTAATTTATATATCTAAAAATAACCCTCAAATTTTCAGAATTTATTTCGCAAGTAAAAACACCGCATTGGAAAAATACCATACACGGACTCTTATGAAAGTTTACTAAATCAAAATATTTCAACATTTCAGAGGTCATTAACAAATTAACTAAAATCTTAAACATGTATGAAAATAAAATCCCAAAGAAAATAATTAATAAGTTTTCCGTGAATGTCACAATTTATCAAGCTCACAAGACTAAATAAGAAATAGACTACCAACAAGACTGAAGGCCTAAGTCTCATCCCTATACCATCATCATCACATCCAGCAGGACATCATTTATGTAACAAAATTTATAGATGAAGAAAAAAAAGGGGTAAGATTCATCATACATCATACCCAAATATAGTATGTGAAGAACATACACACACCAAGTAATCTCAAACACATGGAAATGGTGCAGTACAATTATTTTTAACTTTTGTCTCATATGTATGTAGTATCAAGTCAAAATACGTGAGGTGAAAGACTCAAAGAAGGTATTTTATACTTTCATGAATTATTTTTAAAAATAATAAATGATAAAAATTATATAATAGTGAATGATTATTAAAAATATAAATTATTATATAGTAAAATTTAAATAAAAAATAAAAAAATTGTTAATTTTTGTAAAAAGATAATATAAAAATAAAGTTGTCCAAAAATATAAACACTAAATAAAATGATTCTTTTTATTAATAATATAAATAATAATATATTAT